ATGATGTTATATGTGTCATATAAACATACACACATGGGGTGCCTGGGTGGCTCAGTTGGTTAAGTGTCTGCCTTTGGCTCAGGTCATGATCCCAGGGTTCTGGAATCAAAGCCTGAATCGGGCTCCCTGCTCAGGCTGGTGTCTTCTTCTCCCTCTCCCTGTGTGTGAGTACATGCTCTCTCTCTCTCTCTCTCCCTCAAATAAATAAACAAGTCTTTAAAACAAAAAACAGTGAAGGAAAGCAGAATTTCCCACCCCAAAATATCTCTTTAAAAAAAAACCAAACATACAAATAAGGATGAGTTTATCTTTGTAAAACACACAAAAACAAAAACCTGCCAAGCTGTTTTCGAGCGTGGCCATACCATTTCACGTTCTCACCAACAATGTGTGTGTGTTTGTGTTGCTCCAGTGTTTGGTATTATCATTTTTTGTTTTTTGTTTGTTTGGTTTTTAGTTTTAGCCATTATATTAGGTGTGCAGTGTTATCTTATTCTGTTTTTAATTTGCATTTCTCTAATGGTTAATGATATCAAACACCTTTTCATGTGCTTTTGTGCCATCTATATATCTTCTTTGGTGAAGTATCTGTTCACATCTTTGGTTCAGTTTTTATTTATTTATTTTTTTACTGTTGAGTTTTGAGAGTTCTTTTTTGGTTTTGAGTGTAGGTCCTTTTGGGAATATATGACTTGCAAATATTTTCTTCTAGATTGTAGCATATGTTTTCATTGTTTTAGCAGTGTCCTTTGCAGAGTAAAAGTTTTTAAATTGGTAAAGTTTAATCTATCAGTTTCTCGTTTTGTGGTTTATGCTTTGGATATCATATCTAAGAACTCTTGGCCAAACCAGAGTCACACAAGATTTTTCTCCCATAGTTTCTTCTAAAAGTTTTATCGTTTATGTTTTACATTTAGATGTATAACAGTTTTGAATTAGTTTTCGTATAGGAGTGAAATTTAGGTCAAGGTCCTTTTTTTGGTTTTTTTTTGCATATAGATTAACATTTCTTTTAGACTATGTTAACAACAAATTCTCTTAATTCTCCTTATCAGAGACTGTCTTTATTTCTGAGGGATATTTTTACTGGGATATAGAATTCTAGGTTGAGGGGCACCTGGGTGACTCAGTCGGTTAAGCGTCTGCCTTCAGCTCAGGTCATGATCTCAGGTCCTGGGATCAAGCCCCAAGTCAGACTCCCTGCTCAGCGGGAGTCTGCTTCTCCCTCTCCCTCTGCCCCTCCCCCTCCATGCTCTCTTGTGCTCTCTCTCCTTTCAAATAAATAAATAAACAAATAAAAATAAATAAATAAAATAGAATTCTAGGTTGACATTTTTCTTTTAGTACTTAAAAAGATGTTCTACTGCCTTTAGACCTTCATAGTTTTGATGAGAAACCTCCAGTCATTTGAATGTTTGTTCCCTAATATATAATCTGGCTGCTTTGAAGACTTTTTCTTTACTTTCAGGTTTTAATTTTCAGTTTTATTATGATATGCCTGGGCATCAATTTCTTTGTGTTTATCCAGTTGGGATGTTCTGAACTTCTTGAACCTATAGATTTATATCTTTCATCCACTATGGGATGTTTACAGTCATTTTTTTTCTTTACATAGTTTTTCTGGACTGCATTCTTTGTCTTTTTCTTCTGGGATTCAAATCACAGAAATGTTAGGCCATTATTGTCTCACAAATCCATGAAGTTCTCTTTTCTTTCTCTGTCTCTCTTTCTCTTCAATGCCTTTTCTCCTTCTAGTTCAGGTAGAATGAAAAAAAAATCCAAGAAGCAAAATCCAAAGTATCTCCTCACCTTCTGTCCTGTAGAGACCCCTGAGTCCTGTTCCTCAGACCAGAAAGAGGGTTCTTCTGTAGAAACTCTCCAAATTTGCACCCAGTGTACAGACCTAGGTGTCAGGTTTTAGGCTCTCCCTGAGTCTAGGCCAGGAAATATTAGAGCAAATAAATAAAAACAGGAAACTCACCACTGGTTTGGTGTTACTTAGAGTTCCCTGACCAGCCTTATTCTTCTGAGTCCTCAGATAGCTTTTCCACACATTCCGTCCAAGATCCTTAGCTGTTTCAGTGGGAGAGACAGAGTGAAATCTGCTTACTCTCAAAGATTTTCCATCAATAAGCTCATTTGAGAACAGTTTAAAAGTGGAAGATTATTTAGAGAAAATTTTTAAGCAAGTATGGAACAACCAGTGAGGAATGTAAATAAACTAAATTCCTGTTTTTCCCCCATTTCTTTGCCTGTTGCCAGAAACTTTCCTCAAACCAGCCATCTTGTATGTTTTCCAAATTTTGTTTTAAAAATATAGACATTTGGAAATGATTTTTTAAAACATATAGATTTCAAAACCAACATTATTTTTTTAATTTTTTTAAAAAAGATTTTATTTATTTAAGAGAGAGAAAAAGAGCATGTGAGTGGGAGGAGGGGCAGAGGGAGAGTGAGAGAATCTCAAGCAGACTCTGCACTGAACACGGAGCTCAGAGCCTGATGCGGGGCTCCATTTCACAACCCTGAGATCATGACCTGAGCTGAAACCAAGAGTCAGAGGCTTAACCAACGGAGCCACCCAGGTGCCCTGAAAACCAGTGTTATTTTTTTAATATTAGTTTTTGAAGTACTAGAGATATTTTGATGTGCTATATGAACATTTTGATCAAACAAATGTGACTAATGGATCTGAGAATTCATTTTGAATAAAATTTGTAGTTGTTATTGAACAATCCTTATTGGGTTTTAACATAGGTGTTCCTTAAACTTCTCGTCTTTAATCAATTTTTCATTATAAGAATAACAAAACATACAATTAAATTAAACCAATTTACTTAAGGCTGTACAAAGCCATCAATTTTTTTTTTTTAAAAATTTTTTATTTATTTATTTGAGACAGAGAGAATGAGAGACAGAGAGCATGAGAGGGAGGAGGGTCAGAGAGAGAAGCAGACTCCCTGCCGAGCAGGGAGCCCGATGCGGGACTCGATCCTGGGACTCCAGGATCATGACCTGAGCCGAAGGCAGTCGCTTAACCAACTGAGCCACCCAGGCACCCGCAAAGCCATCAATTTTTATTATGACTGATTCTTGAGCTTAATCATCTGATCTGTGCTGTCTGCCCTACATGCTTATTCAGGAGTCACTTCACAAACAAGGATATCCAAATGGTCAATGAAAAGGATTGCCACTTCATTAGTTAATAGAGAAAACAAAATCAAACTGTCATGCAGTACCACCCAAATAGCTGAAATGAAAAACATAGACAGTATCAATTATTGGCAAGAATATGGCATAACTGGAATTTTCATACTGTTGTCAGGAGCCTTAATTTGGTATAACCACTTTGGAAAATAGTTTGGCAGTATCTTCTAAAGCTAGTACTAAATGTACTTAGACCTTAGGACTAGCAGCTTCATCCCTTGGTATATATCAAACAGAAACATATACATATGTTCACCAAAAAGAATGTCTGTGAGTGTTCAAAGTGGCCTATTTATATTAGCCAGAAACTAGAAACTAACCAAATGCATATCCGCTATAGAACAGTTTAATGAATTGTGTGTAGTCACACAGTAGAATATTATACAGAGCTAAGAATGAAGTGCAACTACTTGTAACAACATGAATGAATTTCACAAGCATTATGTTGAACAGAAGAAGTTTGTATCTTGATCTG